CGGCCGGAGGCTGGGTAAGGAAGGAGGAAATCGGCGCCGGGAAGCGCCTTCCAGGAGTTAGCGTGCGTTCTGCGTGCGGCCTCCCCCGAGAGGCGTAACTCAGCCGTCCCGGCTTCGCCTCTTACTGCCCCTGTCGCGGGGAAGGAACACGCTGGTTCTTCCTCGTGCTCTTCCGGGGGGTGCCCTGCGCTTGCCTTCGGAGGGATTTGCTGGGAAAGCGGGGCGGTCTCGGGGAGCCGAGCCGTGACTCGCCTCTTGAGGGAGCCTAGCCTTGTAGCTGCTGGGGGGTTGACTAATGCGTTGTGGTAGTGTGTTACCGTAAGTCGGCAGACGGAAAACTCTCCAAGACTCGATTTGGAGTTTTAGAAAGCAGACGTTCTTTATTGCGGCGCCCGGCGCACAGGGGATCGCTCCACCTAGTGTGCGCGCCGAAGCTCTCCATTACCAGAGTTATGTAGAATCAGAATATACATATTCATTAGATTTCATTAGCATATTCATGTTATTTCCTGGAACTCATCAACATATGCAAAAGTCTTTAACGCATGCGCTCTTATGTCCATTGGTGGTCTTTCAGGGTCCTCTGGTGGTTGTCGATAGTCTTCCTCACCGTGTTCGCTAATTGAACTCAGTCTTTCCACCTGCACTGTTTGTCTTTTGGCCCAGCTGCACGAGCTAGCTGATGTCGGCATAACTTCCTTATCTATTCCACCCCTGTACACAGAGCTTCAAGGCTTCCTTTTATCTAGGGAACCTCCAGTCTATCCATCCACGGAAGATTTAGCTACTTTGTTTCGACAAAGAGAACCGTATGCCTCCTTAGTATTTCTTTTATTCGGTATCAATGTAAAGGGAGGGCAAGCAGACTGCAGCAAGTCTGCGGGTATGTAAAAGATACCAGCAGATACCTTATGTTTCTTCAGCCAGGCGTGATGTGGGAATGCCTGAAACCAAACCCAACTCTGAAAGCCCATTTGCAGTGGGTTTATGTCAGTTTTACTTTAAAAGCAGGATGCTAGTACGCTGGAGTATCAAACACTTGTTCTCAGCCCTCTGCTTCGCTCATAATGTTGCCCTTCTCCCTCTATTGTTCTATTTGTGTTCACTCGTGACAAGAGCGGAGAGATGGAGCGGTTGATTTCCAGTGTGCTGCTCAGCCGACGTGCTCATCTGGTGAGCTCTCCTTGGGTGTTTGTGTGCAGTGATCTCTATCTCGGTTGCGTTTCTCAAACCTCATTGTGCTTAAGGTTACACGGGACTGCTGGCCTCTCGCCTCGAGCATACAGTGTCCTTATCTACAGAGGTGAACTCTTGCACAGGCAGTGTAACTGGGGAGATGCTGAGGTAGACAGCATACACGTATCATAAAAACACGTTGGGGAGACCCATTTAGGCATAGAGCAGGGGTTATTACTCATATGGAAAATGTGCATTTGGACTTCAAATCCAAAGGAGAACCCACAAAAGAAACTAGATCTGAAGAAAACCCAGGCTTGCATCAGGACAAAAGGAAATCGATTTGTGTGATTATTAGAGATGGTTAAAAAAGCAAAAACTCCATACTCACCAATCCTGTTGATCCTTTCCAATATATCAGAAAGGATGGCAGGAAGAAGAATCAAAAATTTTAAATCCTGATGCTGTTCCCGATCCCCCCAAAAAAAAAGACTGTGCTCTGCACTGACAGAAAAGCAGAGCGTGGAATTACTGAAAATGTTGACAGCATCTTTTCTGAGTATTTTTCTCCTTTGAAATTTATAGAAATACTGCCCATTTGTTGGGGTTTTTTTGTTGCTATGACAAAGTGTCGTGTCATTGAGGTGGAGTGTTGCCAGCAGGTCGAGGGAGGTGATCCTTCCCCTCTACTCCGCACTGGTGAGGCCACACCTGGAGCACCGTGTCCAGTGCTGGGCTCCCCAGTATAAAAAAGAGATGGAGCTACTGGCGAGAGTCCGGCAAAGGGCCACGACGGTGATGAAGGGACCGGAGCATCTCTCCTATGAGGAGGGTCTGAGAGAGCTGGGACTGTTCAGCCTGGAGAAGAGAAGGCTCAGGGGGACCTCGTCAGTGTGTATAAATACCTGAAGAGAAGGCACACGGAGGACGGAGCCAGGCTCTTTTCAGTGGTGCCCAGTGACAGGACCAGAGGTGATGGGCACAAACTGACACTCAGGAGGTTCCCCCTGAACACCAGGAAACACTTTTTCACTGTGAGGGTGACTGAGCACTGGCACAGGTTGTCCAGGGAGGTGGTGGAGTCTCCATCCTTGGAGATACTCAGAAGCCATCTAGACAAGGTCCTGGGCAGCCTGCTCTAGGAGCATGGGGTTTGGACCAGGTGATCTCCAGAGGTCTCTTCCAACCTCAACCATGCTGTGATTCTGTGATTGTGTTTCTTTTTTCTGGACAAATTGGTTCCTTCAGTTACTTCTTTC